CCCCCGATCCCCACACCCACCCCCCCACACACACACCCACACACACACGCACACACACACACACACACACACACACACACACACACACACTTCTGTTTCCACCTCCCTCTGAAGGAAATAGGGCCAGGTTCAAAGCCAGGAACTGACAAGGAGAGGATGTAAGCTCCAGGGGAGGTAGGGACTGACTGCTTTGAGGGGCTCACCTCCACAGACAGGAATCTCAGGGCTCACAGTCACAGGTAGGAATCCTGGGAATAAATCTAGTGAACTGAGTAGGCTTTCTGTGTGAGCAAGAGCCCGTTACATCACAGAGGCTGAAGGAAATGTGTTGAATGGATTGAATGAGTTAAATGTCTGCACCTAAACAAGGCGTTGTTCTTGGCTCTGTCTTTTCTCTCTCTTTACCCGGGCTAGCAATCCCAAGGCTTGCTTGCATACACCTCCAGAGAATGCCTGGACCAGCTGAGTACCAAATGAGGAACACATCGCCTGAATAAGTTGGTTCTTCACTAACTTCATAGTGCTCCCTAGTCCCCTAACCACCTTTGTTCTCCTTTTTTTTTTTCCTTTTAAAATTTTCAGATCCAAACAAACGGGTAAGGCTTTGTGTTGTTTTTTACCCTTTTCTCTTTTGGCTCTTTGGGGGGGGGCACCACTCATATCCCAAATAATCACACATGGAGACTTAATTCTTATCTGGCCTTAGCTTGGTTTGTTTCTAGCCAGCTTTTCTTAAATTATCCCATCTATCTTTTGCCTCTGGGCTACTTTCCCTATTTCTATATACCTTTCTTTACTTCTTACTCTGTGGCTTGCTATGTAGCTGGGTGGCTGGCCTCTTCTGTCCTTCCTTTTTTTGCTCCTCAATCTCTTTTTCCTGATTTCTCCTATTTATTCTCTCTGCCTGCCGCCCTGGCTATCCTTTTTCCTGCCTTGCTCTTTATTAGACCAATCAGGTGTCTTAAACAGGCAAAGTAAAATAGCTTCACAGAGTTAAACAAATGCAACATAAAAGAATGCAACATATCTTCACATCATTAAACAAATGTTCCACAGCATAAACAAATGTAACACACCTTAAAATAATATTCTACAACAGCTTTGAAAGGTTAAAGCTAATGAAGCTGCATTGGTCAAGCTCCACGCTTGCATTTAGTTATATGAAAAGAGTCTTCTACAAGGCCAGTGCAGCTCCTCAGGTCTGTAAAGAGGCTGTGGCCAGAGTCTCCCATCAGGCATTGGCCTAGCCTCTGTGCTGTTGCTGTTTCCCTTGGGAGTATTAAGTTAGAAGGGGTCCAAAAACAACCAGAAGAGGAAGACAGTGTTTGAAGTCCCGAGTTCCTGCCATCCACCCCTCTGTCTATAAATCCCTGTTGCTTTAATAGGCCTTGAATTATCCCAGGGAATCTGTCTATGGAGAAGCTGTGGTCAGAAGCTAACACTGAGTCCGTGTGCATATTAACTTACTGTTCATTTGTCTGTGTAGTACTGAGAAGTGAAGAAGAATAGCACGAGGCGTCAGCACACTGTGCTTCCTGTGTGCTGGGCCCTAGGCTGAGCCCTTCACCTGCAATCCCATTAAGACTGTAATCTTTGAGGCAGACACTCTGGTCACCTCCACTTATAAGTGAAGAAAATGGGACTGATGGAGAGGTGCCTTGTCCAAAATCAAGAAGGGTCAGGGGTAGGACACAGACCAGAGCCATCTGACTGGATCCGGTGTTCCCAAACCTTGATTGTCCCTCCAGCCGGTACTTGTGTGCATACTGCGGCCAGCCTGGTCACTTCTAGGATAGAAGGAAGTTCCTCTGCCCCAAAAAGCAGAACCACACTGCAGGTTTGATGTTTAGGGTTCTACTGTTAGACTTCTTTTTAACCCCAGGCTTTACCTGGTCCATCAAGTGACATAGCAAACTCCAACTGTCATTTCCTTGATGTGACAGACTGTATCAGGCATGTTGCTGAGTGGATTGTTTGCATTCTGTACTTCCAACTAAGGAAAGGGTTTAACCCTTGTTTGAATCCATAGAAATCATCTAAATCTGTCAAGCTTGTCAGTCATTCCTAAATAAGCATAAATATCCACCTCTTGTGGCATGGATGTGTCATTTTGGAAAGGACATTGGCTCAACAATTGTTTTTAACTGGAAGGTTTCAGCAAGAAAGCCAAACAACATAAGTCCAAGGACAACCAGAGAGAATAGAGTGTTCCTTTCCTTAGTGAACTGATGTTTTACCACCCCAAAATTGGCCTCAGTCAAGTGATGAGCAGGTCAGCCAAGGGAGAGGAGTTCTGTATCTCTTTTGAATTCTCCAGTTAGGTATGTCTGTTCATAAATGAGAAAAGACAGAGAAGCCCTACATATAACAGATATGCAATTAACTTTAAGATGATCTTTTTAATTCTGGAATAAAGTCAAGTAGAGTAACATCCCTATAGATCAAGCACACATATCTCTAGCAATTGAAATGACTTTGCAATTTGTGTGAAATTGGCTTTATTGTACATTTTGCTTTTATTTTTATTAGTTAACTAATTAATTTGTTCCAGAACAATCACTTTTCCCCTCTCTCCCTCCTCTCCTCCCAGTCCCTCTCTCCAATCCACCTCACCCCACCCCCATCCCTCCTCCTCCTTTTTCTTGAGAAAAGGGTAAGTCTCTCATATCAGCCAGCCATGGTATATCAAGTTGCAATAAGACTAGGCACCTGCTCTCCTATTAAGACTGGATGAGGCAACACAGAAGGAAAAAAGGGTCCCAAAAGCACGTAAGAGTCAGAGACAGGCCCTGCTCCCGCTGTTAGGGGTCCCAAAAGCTACACAACTGTAATACATGTGCAGAGGGCCTAGGTCAGTCCCATGCATGCTCTCTGATGGGCAGCTCAGTCTCTGTGAGCCCTTATGAGCCTAGGTTAGTTGTTTACATGGTTTTCTTGTGGTGTCTTTGGCCCCTCTGGCTCCCACAGTCCTTCTCCCCCTCTTCCACAGGATTTGCCGAAGTCCACCTAGTGTTTGACTGTGGTTCTCTGCATCTGTTTCCATCAGTTGCTGAATGAAACCTCTCTGATGAAAATTGGGCTCGGCAACAATCTATGAGTATAGCAGAATATCATTAGGAATCACTTCATTGACTTTTTTTGACAGCCATGCTTGGTCCTATCCTTGGCCTCTGGACTGTCCAGCCTCTGGGTCCTGGCCATTTAGGCAGTGTCAGGAGTGGGCTCCCTCTCGTGGTATGGATCTCAAGCTGGACCAGTCATTGGTTGGCCATTCCCATAATTTCTGCATCAGCTTTACCCCAGCTAATCTTTTAGGCACAGCAAATTGTAAGCCAAAGTTTATGTGGCTGAGTTGGGGGTCCCAGTCCCTCCCCTGGGAGTTTTGCCTGGTTCCAGGAGATGGCTGGTTCAGGCTCTGTGCCCCACATTGCTAGGAGTCTGAGCTATGGTCACCCTCATAGATTCGTGGGAGTTTCCACTGTGCTAGGTTTCTAGCTCATCCCAAAGATGCCCCTGATTCCAGTTGTCTTTCTCAGTACTCTCTTCTATGGGAACTGGAGGGATCAGGTTTCAGACGATAGAAGGAGAGAATATTGGCTTTTTCAGATGACTTGCCTGAAGTTCACTGAGCTCAGGCTCAGGCTTCTTCATTTCTTCCTCCTTGCCTTCAGGATATTTATGAATGTGAACTAATGCTGATTCACCCTCAGATGTTTCATTCAAGGTAATTATGCAATAACACAAGTTACAACTGTATCAAAGGTCACAGAAAAATAGCAACACAAAAGTGTAATTAGCAGTGTTCCCAATTAAATAACATAGGGAATATGGTTTCTGAGACCAAGGCTAGTTTCTAATACCTGCTCTCTGATGGTATTCTCCACAGACAGAGAGCCGCTGTCTCCCAGTCAGTACCCTCCACACAGGCTTTAGCATCTGATGCCAAGAAGTGGGGGTCATCCCTTCACTGAGCTCTTCCATCCTAGGCACTGGGAACCTAGGAAACGTCCCTATTTCAGGACACCGATGGCCTCCTAGGGACCAGTATACTGTGCAAGTGCTGTTATGTTATCGTTTAGAGAACTCTTCTTGGGGTGGTCAGTGGATGCTTCACAAGGCATCAGATGGGCTGAGCTATGAAGGTCAAGTGTTGATTACCAGGAAAGAATAGCATCTGGTACTGACCTTCAGCATGATGAAGAGCTGTGTTTTGCGAACAGCAGAAGTATAAACACAGTTGATTTGTATTTGGACAGCACTGAATACTGATTCTACTGCATACCAATTATATATTCTTGGTATTATTGCCTTCTCTGGGCTTCTGTTTCCATATTTATAAAAATATTCTGAATATTTTCTATAGCTTTCTATGAGTACCAAAAAAAAACCATAAGTAAAGAATATAACAATTGAGACTAAGAGTTAGCAAATAAAAAATACAAGATGGCCATTTAAATTTATTTTTATGAAACAATCTTTAAGCAAATGTGTACCCCAAATACCATATAGCAGATATACCAAATAATTATTTATCTGAAATTAAAACTTAACTGATACCCTGCAGTACTGTCCAATAATAAATAACAATAAGTGAACCATGTCTTAAGTTGGTATGATAAGTATTTTCAGACTAGGGGGTACTGAATTGAAGTAAATAAGAGTTTTGAACAAAACAACAGACTTCAAACAGCATGTATACAAGAGGGACTTGTGGGAGCAGAAGGTAAAGGTTATCTATTAGTGTTAGAATTCAGAAGTTTCTCCAGGAATAAAGAACATATTATCTTAAAAAGTGTTTTCTTCGAATTGGTTGGTAGCACCCCACCACCAAAACCATGCCACATTTGAGAGAACCATGGGTCATGGCAGTGGGAACTGAGGTGTGACACCAACTTAGAAATTTTCATCGGACTGGAAGAGTACAGTTGCTGGCTAATAGCACAGCTAGGTTTCAGTTTCTCAGTTGATGATGGATGCTGCAGGTTAAATCAGTTAAAAGTCCCACAGTCTCAGTCTGTGCCTTCAACTATGGAGTGAAACTCAGAGAAGGATAAGTCCCCTCCTCACAAAGGCTTACCTACAATCCTGTTTTTAAATCTCTAGAAGAAGCACTAACATGAGCTCATTCTACTGCATCACTTCCTGAACCGTGATCCACGAAGGCAGGCCGGTTACACCACAGCATCCCCAGGAACTGGAAAACAGGAGGGTCCACTTATCATTTGTAAATGGATGAGTCAGCATGGGCTGGGCTCACCACGAAAGGTCTGATGAAATTCCTTAGTCTGAAGTGGGCCTGAAACAAAGATCTGGCTGAGCAGGAAATCGTGGGCTTCTTCCTCATCCTCAACACGGCTGCCATTCACTGTGAACCAGGCCTGGAACACAGTGCTTTACAGTAATTCTGTTCAAACCTTCCAATGACTGATGGGGGATGTCCTTCTGTGTATGTTTATCTTATTGGTTGTTGAATAAAGCACTGTTGGCCAATAGGGAAGAAAGAAAGGTGGGACTAGGAATCAAGGAGGATTCTGGGAAATGTAGTAAAGAGAAGTCTTGTGACCCAGACAGGAAGTGACATAGCAGGCAGACTCAGAATAAAAGCAGGGACAAGCAGGAAATGACTCTCTTCTTCCTCCTCTCTTCTCTGTGGAGCCTCCATGTGATCCTGGGAAGAGGATGCATGCTGCCACCAGCATCTTCCATAAGATAAGTCTTCATAAATATATAGATTAATGGCTATGGTTGATAAAGCATAAGCAAGCATATAAGAAATCCTAGTCATTGGCCAGCAGCATTGTAACTAATGTAAGTCTCTGTGTGTTACTTGGGGCCCTAATGTAGCGGTGGGCAGAACTCAGGCAGCTGGCGGAAAGATTTATCATTACAAATGACCCTTAAAAGTGAAGGTTTAACCAGCCTCAAAGCCCAATTTTATTCTGTAAATCAGCTTAAGAGTCATCTCTGGGAGAACTTTCTTAGCCAGCCTACCAAGAAACATTCCTTCCTGTTCCCACTCTAACTCAGCCTAAGTCCTTTCACAGGACTGATGGTTCCTAGTGAATTTACAAAATATCTCTGCTCCATCTGTCTATAGTCCAGTTACTACCATGTTTCCAACACCCATCAGCCAGCTCATTGCAGGACCCAATTAGTATTTGTCAGCCATGAACTTTATTTTCAGGTTTGTCTGCACAGAATCACTGCAGCTTTAAAAAGGTAAAGTATCGTCACATCTATCTCGACCAACAAGAAAGACACGACCACGACTCTTCTTCAAGAAGTTTATTCAGGAACCTTGTACATCAGCTTCCGCTCAGCTTCTACTTCAGCTTCTCCTAGCTTCACTCCCTACTAGTCCCCCCGGCAAGCCCTTAAAAGCAATCTCATTACCCAATTAACTCACGCCACCTGGCGATCCCGGATAGGTCACAGCTGGAAGAGGCACACCAGATCCACTAAGCGCTTCCAAATAAGGCTTGTTTACAGCTAAGCTCCATCTCCCTGGCATCCAGCCAGGCACCATCTTGGGGCTGTGGCTCCCCACAAAGTATCACACACACACACACACCACATAAACATACCACACACAGAAACACGCATATATACACGCAAAACACATAAACACGCCACACACAGAGACACGCATACACTCACATACAAAAACACACATACCACACACGCAAACACACATACACACATACCATACATACACACAAACACACATGCAATCTCAAAAACACAACCATGAAGGCCTCACTCCGCAGTCACCAGATCCAAATGTCTACAGTAGATCTGCATCTTTGTTTCTTCCTTCCCTTCTTTTCCAATTCTCTCTCTCTCTCTCTCTCTCTCTCTCTGTGTGTGTGTGTGTGTGTGTGTGTGTGTGAGACACTGCTGAAGATGAAAATGTCAGCGAGTGCCTGCCACTATAAGGAAACTGTAAAGACCTTTGTGGAACTCTGAAGGATACTATCATGGCTTGCATAGAAAACTGCCCAAAGTAGTACGTGCTGATGACTTGCTTGTTCCTCAGCTGGTGGCACTCTTGGGAGGTGTTTGGTTCATGAATGCACTGACCTCACCAATGTGATTAATCCTCTGGTGAATTCCCAGCTGAGTGGGCTGTCAGAAAGTGCATCAGGACACAGATGCATGTTTATGGAGGGTACTTCTTGTCCCTGGCTGTTGTGCAAGGAACAGTCTCTGGTCACATGCTTCTACCACCTCTCCAATGATGGCTAGCTAAAGTAAATTGTTTTCTACTACAAACTGATTTGCTTGGGTATTTGGTAACAATGACAGAAGTGATCAACACAGAGACATTTTTCCTCCATGCAATCTTTCAACTAAAGCTTTATAGGAGTTTCTCTATGAAATATGCTGGCCACATCCTTTACCTCAATGCAAATATATCTCACCAATTTGAAAATAAGAACACATCACCATATAGTTGTATTTCTATTTCTATTGCCCTTAAACATAGGCCATTAAGAGTGGCCTCATTCAAAGTAAAAGGTAGGAAGTATAACACTGAGATACCACTTATCTACCAGAGGGCAAACTGCAAAAGCTTGACAGCATATTTTCTTGGCCACCTTACAGGAAATTAGCTTCTGTGATACACCACTGATAGGAATGCAAAATAACCCAGGAATGGGATTTACTAATTGCTGACAATGTTATACTCTTTATCCCAGCATTCACACTTTTAGAAATTTACCCTAAAAGCACAGCACCAAAATATGAAACATTGGTAGCTTGACAGCAAAGCAATGTGCTGCACTCAAGATTTTTCATTGCAGTATCATCTGTAATAGCAAAGAGAAAAAGTAAGACTCTCTGTCAGTAAGGGACTGGTTGAATAAACTATGCCACTAAGAAATAAGGAAGCCCCCAGTGCTCTGGTGTGAAGCAAGTGCTACAATATTAAACAACAAAAAAAAGTAAAGTAGTGTTTATAAATATGCCACTATCTATGTTAAAAATGAAGGGAAACAGGAGTAGATTTAAAGCACTTTTAGTACTTTTAAATAATGGAAGAACAAAAAACCTCAACAATGGCTAGCGTGGCATGATAACATTGAAGGTGCAATACTGGCATGCATACATCAGTGGTAACCAACAGCTCGATAATTGAACTTAAGACCCACCCAACAAGAGGAAAACCACACTTGGTACTGGAAACCTAGGCAATTACTCAAGGCTCTTGAAGTCATGAATCCTGGAGAAGAACCTACAACTGACACTTTACTAAGCCAGCATAATTCATAAACTACATTCTAAATATTTGTCCTTATGCCCACAGACAGGTGTATCTGTCACCCCTCATCAGAGAAACTTCTCTTTGCAATAGATGGAGACCATCACAGAACTACAGCTGATCAAAATGTAGAGTTGTGCGGCACAGTCCCAACTGATACATCTACAAAACAGCTTCTGTTACCTAAGGCCCAGAGATCATTATGGAAGAGGGTGCAGAAAGAGTGTTAGAGCCAGAGGAATACGGAGTTTTCTGTTGTCTCCTAATGATGTCAGAAGCTACCTCTAAGAGGTCTCACCACCATGGATTCAAAAACCAAGAACTGAATAAGTATGATACCAATAGATATGCTAACATGGATTGAGGATAGGTAATGAGGTCTCAGCCCCTAAACAAAGAACTACAGGCAACTAAGGAATGCTGACAGTGGGAGAAATATGCTTCTCCAGAGAAGAACACACCAACTGGTACCTAATACCAAATAGCCATCCCTGGAAACATATATACAAGTGACATTATACAGACTGAGGGTATTGTAGTTATGCATTTAGGAACACACACACACACACACACACACACACACACAAGAGCTAGTTCCAGGACAAGCTCCAAAAGCTACACAGGGAAACTCTGTCTTGAAAAACCAAAGAATAAGAATAAGAAGAAGAAGAAGAAGAAGAAGAAGAAGAAGAAGAAGAAGAAGAAGAGGGTGTAAATGGGAGAGCTCAGAGGGAGGAAAGGGAATGGGGATGATGTAAGGATGTTGTAATCTCAAAAAATTTTAAAAATTACTTTAAAAAGTCCTTCTGAACAACTGGGAGAACATATTTATAAATATTTATTTTATCTGTAAATGAAACGTCTGAGTAATAACTTATGCCAATAAAATATAAAGAATCCTCAAACTGTGGAAGCTGGAGCGATGGCTCAGTGGAGATTAGTGCACACCACTCCCACAGAAGATCCACATTCGGTTCCCAGCACCCATATCAGAGGCTCACATATGGTAGATGGCTACAGAGCATTGCCAGGTTTTATGCTGCTGCAACTGTTTCTTGTCTTTCCACTGTTTTTTGTGAGATGTTATATGGGATTGGGGGAGGCACTGTGGTTTGAACCTAGAACCGCATGCAATCTAGGCAAGTGCTTTACCACCAAGCTATCCCTTTTAAAACTATTTTGAGACAAAACCTCAACAAGTTATCCAGACTATCCATGAACTCACTCTGTAGTCCAAGAAGGCCTTGAACTTTCATTCCCCCTGCTGTGGCCTCCAGTGTAGCTTGAATTACAGACCTGTGCCAACTCACAATATTTTGATAGGAGAGGCCGGGAGGGTGACCCATGTGCCCTGGTTTTTGCCCTCAGGGACCTGGGCCTTAGACTCAACGGAAATGTGTCTTCTGGACACTAGGAAACTTTCCCTACTTTCTAATTTGCCTCTGGCAGATAACATTGACTGCCACTCTTCAGTGGGTTGATCAAGGTACAAGGGTAACATTACAAAGTTCTTCAAATCGGTTACAGTAAAATAATAATCAGATGGCCATAACCTTGTATGAGAATTCCTTAGAGCACCTGGCTAAAAGCATTTCTGATGAAATTATGGACTGGCATGTTGGTCATCCAATAGGAAGTGGGTAACACTAGTTAGTAGGCATCTGTTCAGAGATCAAGAGACAGAGAATTAATATGGATATTCCTGAATTTGCAAAGAGAATTTGTGTTGTCTCTAGAATTGCCCATGTTCACCATAAGAGTCCCAAAGTGAAATGACCACAGTATTTAAGAGCCTGTGGGATTAGGATCTCATTCATTCTACTCTTAAGCTGATTCCCCACATTTGCGCTATCTCTTTGTGAGGCACCAAGGACACAGAGATGAAACTATTATTCAGTTACTTGGTATATTTTCTTTCAGAGCAGAGAATGCCAAGAACCAGAATAACTCAAATCAGTGACCTCAAACTCATCTACCTGTAGAGGTCTGGGAGCATAAAGCCCAGTGTCTACAGTGAGCTGGACCCTGAACACTGACGAGGGCCAGTTCCTCACTGTGTCCTTGGGGATAATTTAGACCCAAGGCTGCTCAAGTCATCCACTTTGCGTAGGTATGCACACACGTTCCTGCAGACGCGCATTGTGCATTGGGTTGCACATACCCTGGTGCATGTGCAAATGAAGGCCAGT